CCCTCCTCTTCCTTCTTCTTCTTCTCCTCCTCCTCTTCTTTCTCCTCCTCCTCCTCTTCTTTCTTCTTCTTCTTCTTCTTCTTCTTCTTCTTCTTCTTCTTCTTCCTCCTCCTCCTCATTCTCTTCTTCTTCCTCTTCTTCTTCCTCCTTCTCCTTCTTCTTCTTCTTCTTCTTCTTCTTCTTCTTCTTCTTCTTCTTAGTTGCAATGGCAAACTAGTGAACGTAAAATTTGCCCAGAAAAACCACAACAGCCAAAAAATGCTGGGGTTGGTTCTTCAACATCCTCTGCACAGTTAACTTTTTAACCTGTTTGTTTGTTTGTTTTAGTATCCAGAAGCCATGAGTTGTTAACCCTAGGCTCGGTATTATGGATATCGCAACCTTTCGGCCTTGATTCCATTGTAAATACCGTAAATCTGGGAGGAAATGTGGCTTTTCTACCTACCCCTGGGAGTGAACCCGGACCACAAGGAGTTCGTCACCCGATCTACGCTAGAGAGCCGGGCAACTTTTTAACCTGTAAATGCATTTAAAATTATAACCCTTTTCTCGATGTCGCCAAATACAAACAACACAGAACGTGTACAAAAGAAAACCTTGGTTGTTTGCTTCACTGTTGGTGACGTCTTTCACAATTTTACGGACAACCTTGAAAACATTCGCAGTGATAGGTAACTTATGAATAATACTAGATTCTCCGCTCAACAGTGCTGTTACTTGATAGGCCATTCTCTTAGTGCTTATGCATATCATCATCACCCTGTGCCTCGCCGGTAAGCGTAGATAAATGCCCATTCACATGTTTGTGAAAGTCTCCAATTAGGTCTGTTTTCCTTGTTCCCGTTATTGCGTTTGGTCAACACTCTTGGTATTAACCGTGTCCTATCTTTCCGTTGACTTTTATTCATTGTATAATTTAGAAGGGTTGAACTGGGCTTTTGTGGTATAATTTAATACTAATAGTAGTAGTTTTAAGAATAGAAATAATAATAATAATAATAATAGTAATGATAATAATAACCGCGGAACTTCTGCTGCTACTGCCCCCCCCTGCCCCCCCCCCACATTCATCTCCACCTCCTCACCTAATGACTGCGTGTTGAGTCCGGATGTTCTGCCTTGTAGACACGCAAGGAAAGACCTGCACGTTCAACTACAAGTCCCTTGACTCTCGATAGTTTAGTTTCAGTACACCCGTATCTTGGTTAAATTGTATAATGAGAAAACTGACGCACACATTGGGATTCTGGCAGGTGCTGGGCGGGTCGTGCACTGAGTTCACACTCACTTAGTGGGTGTGTTTTCGTATAGTTTCAAGTGTGGTGAAGATGGTCATTACATAACTCTTTTTTCTTCTTATAGCTGTCTCTGTCCACCTCTGCTTTTCCTTCATCCTTCGGTCCCTCTCTTTCTCTTTATGTGTATTTCCTTCTCTATTTTCCTCACGCTCTCTTTATGAATGTCTCTCTCTCCCACCTCTTTATTTGTTTTCTCTCCCAACCTCTCTCTCTCTCTCTCTCTCTCTCTCTCTCTCTCTCTCTCTCTCTTTGTCTTGCTCGCTGTCACTCTCCAAGTGTCTATATTTATGTCGCTTTAAGGTCTGATATCCATGTTATCGATGTCTTTTATTTTATGTCTTAAATGTACACGATGTGTCTTCTACTTGTTATTTCATTCTAGTCTCTCATCCCCCCTCCCACTTATGTCTCTCTCTATGTGTGAGTCTGCCTGTCTCTGTCTTCTCTCTCTCTCTCTCTCTCTCTCTCTCTGTCTAGCTTTCTCTTTCTCTCTCTCTCTCTTTCTCACTATTGCTCTCTCTCTCTCTGAGTCTGTCTCGCGTACTCTCTTTCTGTCTGTCTCTGTCTGTCTCTGTCTTTCTCACTAATTCTCTCGCTTTCTCTCTCTCTCTCTCTCTCTCTCTCTCTCTCTCTCTCTCTCTCTCTCTCTCTCTCTCTCTGTGAGTCTATCTGTCTCGCGTTCTCTCTTTCTGCCTGTCTCTGTCTTTCTCACTAATTATCTCGCTTTCTGTGTGTCAATCGCTGCGTCTATCGCACTCTGTCTCTCTCTGCTTCTCTCCCCTCTCCCTCCTTCCCCACCACATTTCCCCTCTCTCCACCGCCCCGCCCCTCCCCTCCAAAGCGTCGCGTGTGTAACTTTCAATGTAACCAGCAGACGTTGTTCAGGACCGTCAACCATTTCCTCACACTTTCTGACTGAAGCACCCTCTTTGAAATATACTTCAGTGGCGCCAGCAGTCCTTAAGATTTCTCTTCCGTTTCTGTGATATTTTTAGTCAAGATCACCCTCTGTTTCTTTTGTCCTGTAGTTTCGAATAAAAGTACTTTTTTTTAATACTGTCTAGCTTATACAGGTTAATACAGTCTTCTCAGCTCTATTTGTATTATTATTAAACACTTAAACAAGGTCTGGCCCCTTGAGTGGACCCTCCCCCTTAGAAAATTTGTGTTGGTGCCTCTGTAGAGATGCATTGATGTATAGTTTGACCTAGGCTAGACACTATGAGACTTATTTTCCATAATATTATAATGTGTTAAAGTAAAAGTAAAGCACCCTTTTCCACGCCTTTAGGCGTATTGGGCATATAGGGCTAGATCTATATTTTGAAGACCAGTCAGCACTTGTTGGGCGATGTGGTCAGCATCACGACGGATACCTTTACTTCTCTGGTCTCCACCTCATACCCATTCAAGGCTGGATCGACCTCAAGGTAATTTTTGAAAAAAGTCATGAACCGAACCCACGACCTTCCTATTCGCAGGCGAGCCTCTAGCAGCTACACCTGATGGCTGCCTTATATTTTGTTGGGTGTGATATATTTTGGTGCTGGTGACACTTGTGCAAGAATAATGACAAGATAATTATCTAGTAAGGAGGTGTGGCATACATTGTTATATGTGATGGCCTAATATTTCACATTCAAATGTTAGTATCAAACATATGATGCATTAATCTGAAGTCTTAAATGCTAACAGTCTGTTTGTGTTGGCATCACTGGCATCTGCCTTATGCATTTGATACATATGTATGCTGCTGTTGGATGTTGCCAGGACTGCTTATGTTTGACTTTTCATTGAGCACAGTGGTGGGCATTGTGTGTGTGGTTTTCACTAACAAAGGAGTCGACTAATTATAGGGTCACCTTTTTGTGATGAATGTATTTGTGATTGATAGTCTGTTAAACTGCTGAAAAGCCAGTATTTATGGTCAATAATATAGTTTTATAACCTTCATAAACTCGTTGTTCCTTTGTTTTATCCAGTCACGGTTTTTACAAATTTTCTTTTTTAACTATACACCGCATGCCTATAGTATTAATTATCTGGGTAATAGCTAACTGTGAACTTCATTTCTTAATAAAGATTAGTTAGTTAGTTAGTCTTTCCTCTTGTGTCGAGTGCGGCACATAGGGCAGAGGTCATGACTCTCCATGCATGGCGGTTCGTTGCAATCCGTTGTAGGTCTTGGATGTTTGAGTGGCCCATGAGCGAGCCTTCCCTGATGATAGTTCTACGTAGATAGGGTTTCCCTTGGTCTTCCACGAGATCTTTTTCCCCTGTGGTGTCCAAATGAGGGCTTGGTAAGGAAGTCTTGATTTATCCATTCTAAGGGCGTGGCCGACATAGTTCCAGCGGCGTTTTCGTATAAAATTAGACACATACTCTTGCCTGGATTCTTGCCTTATTTGTGTATTTGTTCGGAAATCTGACCATTTGAAATTTAGTATTCTTCTAAGGCATTTATTTTCAAAACTGTCTAATTTTGTGTCTAGAGTTTTCGTTGATTTCCAGCTCTCGCATCCAATAAAGATTAAGATAGAAGAATTCAGAATTAGATATGGGAAAATCTAACTACCTTTAAGACTTACTAGCGATACTGTGTACATTTTTTATGGCAATATGTTAAATCCTAAAACTGGATCTGTGTTGATAACTGTCTCCAAAATGTGCCAGTCAACAGATAATATTGTATGGCCAGTTGGGTTGATCCATGATAAGGTATCAAACTGGGATTGTGTTTGCTGTGTGCAAAGTGTTTGCAGTCCTTTTTGTTAGTTGATATGTTTGGTGTGTCAGCTACTGTTCTCTGTGCAAACTGATACTGCATGATTATTTAGACAGCTGATTTTGCATTTTGTTGCTTAGATTGTATTATGTAAGTTCTTGCATAATAATCTCATTAAGTGTTTGCATAGCAGTTTACTGTAGTTGAATAGTTATAAACATAGCACTGTTAATGATATGTGCAATGTGCATATCAGTTCCTTGGATATGTTGAGTTAGCTGCATGCTGTCTCTAAGACTTCACAGACCAGCTGTAACATTATTGTCTGCTGTGTGGTTTTTCTAGGCAATGTTATGTTCAGTAGTTTGTCATTGCTTTCTGAGCAGTACAATATTCACTGATTGGTCTATATATTATAGGTCTTGCCCATGGGGTGATGTTGACCACATCAACTCCCGACTACTGATGGGTCTTTCAAATATAAGTCTAGCCCTATATGCCCAATACGACTGAAGGCATGGAAAAGGGTCCTTTCCTATTTTTAAATTTCATGCTCAGTACGCGTATTGGCAAGGCAAATGATCTTTAAAAAGAATGGGGTCTTTACAATATTCACATGCTGTCAAAACCAACACAAAGCAGTCTGCTAGCAAGTAGCTTCAGCTAACTTTGAACCCTGGTACATCAGGTTTCTGAAACTATGTTCACAACTGTTAAGACACAGTCGGCAACCTTAGATGTGTACTTGGATGTATATTGTTTATGACATACCTGTCTTATAGATAGATGTCTTGTCGATTTAATAACATAGCTGTGTCCTTAATTTACAAATGGCCTTATAGATTTCTTACCACTGTATATGTATGTCCTTAAAGAATAAAATAAGGGCTTTTGAGCTGAAATGCTATACAGAGGTTCTCAGAATACCATGATGTACTGAAGTGTTTTATTTCTGTCTTCCCCAGTTCTACAGTACCATGGCTAGTGGTCACAAAGTCAGCGAGGGCATTCTACTGGGGATAGGAAACCCACTTCTGGACATCAGCGTGTACGGGGATGCTGATCTTCTGGCAAGATATGGGCTGGAGGAAAACAACGCTGTGCTGGCTACACCGGAGCAGCATGAGCTGTTCCACGAAATTGTGGAAAAGTACAATCCTACTTATGTAGCTGGTGGAGCCACTCAGAACAGCATACGGGTGGCGCAGTGGCTGCTGCAGACACCTAAAGCTACCACTTTCTTTGGTAGTGTGGGCAATGACAAGTTCAGGCATATCTTGGAGCAGGTTGCACAAAAGGTTGGGGTGAATGTAAGATACCAGGTCTGTGAAGGAGAAGACACAGGGAGATGTGCCGCAATCATTATTGGAGAAAATCGGTCTCTCATTACAGAACTAGGAGCAGCAAAAAAGTTGTGTGTTGATTATGTAAGGCAGCCAGAAAATTGGGCTTATGTGGAAAAGGCCAGGTTTTTTTACGAAGGCGGTTTCTTGCTGTCTGTAAGTCCAGAAGTTGTTTTAACAATAGCTCGTCACAGTTCTGCTGCCAGAAAAACTTTGGTGATGAATCTCCATGCCACGTTCTTGTGCAAGTACTTTGCTGATCCAAGTCTGGGGCTTATGGAGCATATTGATGTCCTCTTTGGCAATAGTGATGAAGCTAGGGAATTTGCTAAAGAAGCAGGCTTTGGCACCCAGGATGTCAAAGAGATTGCTCTGAAAACATCCTTACTCCACAAGGTGAATGCTGATCGCCATCGTATCATTGTAATAACTCAAGGCAAAGATGCAACCATTGTGGCAACGGAAGGAAGAGTGGAAGAGATTCCTGTCAAGCCAGTGGATCCTTCCATCATCGTAGACACAAATGGCTGTGGAGATGCTTTTGTTGGAGGCTTTTTGGCACAGTTGGTGCAGGACAAGCCTCTGTCCGAGTGTCTGAGATGTGGGACCTATGCTGCTCGAGAAGTTATTCGGCACTTTGGGTGTCAGTTTCCCCAGTATCCTGACTTCGTCTAGGATGGGCGGTTTCCCCAGTACCCTGACTTCGTCTAGGATGGGCGGTTTCCCCAGTACCCTGACTTCGTCTAGGATGGGCGGTTTCCCCAGTACCCTGACTTCGTCTAGGATGGGCGGCCTCTTTTCATAATGTTTTTATTGTGCACATCTCACAATTGATATTGACTAATGTAATATTTTATATTGATTGTATTACTCTTATTTTTGTTTAATACTCAGACTTTTTCCCCAGTAGTACAACAGTTTATTTTATGAGAAAATATTTGTGATGAAATATATATATAGTTAGAAAAACCATTTAAACCACCTCTTTTATTTAGAGATGAACAATGCGATGAACAATTTGAGTGAGCAACGATGACACATTTACATTTTTGCTCATTTTCTTGCAAGCAATGTGCCTTACAATATATGAACAAGTCTATCCTCACTTCCTACTTTTTTCTTTAAATTTAGTTATATTTTCATATTTTTTGAAAATGTTAATTTATTTTCCTTTAAAAATTGTTGTTGAACTAGTTTATGAGAACCTTAGCCATTTTGAATTTAATTTCTATTTGTACTTTTTGTGTCATTGACTGAGATACAAAGAATAATTGCTTTTTTGTTTTTAACAACTACTATCAGTATGTTTTCATTTTATTGCTATTGTCTATAATGAATTTTTGAATTTTTTTTTTTTTAAATCTCAAACAAATATCAACATGCAATGATGATGCAAGAGTTTATTGAGTGCCTACATTTTTGGGAGATTGTATCTGAACCGCTCCACCACAGTATCCCAGTCGAATTTTTGTATTCAAAGTAAACCAAAATAATATATAGGGATAGAATACATGATCACATCCTGTTTTTTGTTTTGTTTTTATAATAGAGTAGATGTAGATTTTTTTTTATTAAGGTTATGTATGTATGTCTGATCAGAACTTGGCCTTAAATTTTTTTCAGTACCATAAATGTTAATTACTAGCTTTATTGATGAATCAAGGTGCTCATTTGTAGTATTGTAGATTATATGTGCCTGTTAACTTAGATTGTATCAATTTTTCATTTTCACCATTATAGATTATGTAGAGATGTTCATTTTAGCAAATATTTCATGAAAATTTCACGTGAAACATTATATGTTATGCAGGTATGTTTTCTTTTCATAAACTATACAATATTGGGCATTTTTTTTACATCATACACCTGTATAAAGATTGGAGGGGGGGGGGGGGGGAACTTAATTTGGACTTCAAAACATTATTGACTGTAGCAGCAGAGATACATAGTGACCTCAAATATGGGCAGTGACAGTAGACACATGGACAGCACAGAAGCATGAGAGGCTGATATTGATATAAAAGTTACACAGTGGCATGAAGGATTGACTGTGGAATGAGTATACACAGTGACGTCAAAATGTGGGCACTGGCATCAAAGAGGATACCCTGTGACATGAAAGGCAGAAAGGGGCATTACTATATAGAGTGACATGAGAGGTGGACAGTTGCATCACTATATAGAGTGACATGAAAGGTGGACAGTGTATTAGTGTACACAATAATATGAAACCTGGTCAGTGACATAACAGAAGATGCACATTGATTTGACAGATGGACAGCTGGTATATACATTATGTTTTGAAGCAATATTAACTGTCAGCGAGTTTCCTAGTTTATCTCAAGTCTAGAGTTTCTCCAGGTTTGGCAATGTTTGATTATAAGTTTACATCATCTTATGTAACAAGATTATTCACCATCTTGTGTAATAAATTTAGTGACTCAAAAATGGCATATAGTAAGATCTGCGTCTTCGTAGAAATCATCTATAAACTGTCCTATTTCATCAACACCTTATATTTGGGTGTACATTTATATTCTTTATTTGTATATGTCATAGAGTTACTTCACTCTTTCGGTACCGAAGCTCAGTTAAATTAGTTATAAATCAACACATGATGAGTTCCAGAGTACCAGCAGACAGAAAGCTCATCATATTCACAGATAGGAGACTATTTTGACAGGACCTGGGAGCAAACATTGGTGATCAATTCACACTTGCAGGTTTTATATTGCTAATTGTGTGGGTTCTAAGGCCCCGTTGTAGGGAAAACAAGAATAGTCCCACTGCCTCCCCAACAGGCAGGTCATAGGAGTCGACTAATTGATAGCTTCTTCGAAGTTAGAGTACATCTGCCTGAGAGGCAAGGAACCAAGTGTCTGCTTACAGATAAGCCAGATCTGTGAAATGGGTGTGCCTAAATAGAAGGCACACAGACCTCACTGCATACACGCTGACTGACACAAAACTAGGAAGAGTGTGGAGTTGGAGGTAATGTTGTTCCTCCTACCTCATCTTTTGATCTTTTAATTATTTTTTAGAGAAATAGTTGAATGTTTCTGGCATGATGTTGGCCACATCACCCATCATGTGATGATTGGTGTATCAAATCTGGGCCTAGCATCATCTACCCAGTGTGCCAATTGTTTGGAAAGGGTCTTTTAATTATTTTTACTTAAATGTCTAAATTTTTCTTATTACATATCAGTTCATAGTTGAGTATCATATGTTTATTTTGTTTTTTCTTTTATTTCACCCCATCTTAGGGGCTCTGAAATTTTGGAGGGAATTCACGACAAAGTCCAATATTATGGTGGAGGTGGAAGGGGGGGGGGGTGTTAGTCAGTGTTTATTTCACACCCTGACACTCCCATACTGTTGGACTTACCTGGCAATTCCCAACGAAATCTTGGAGCCCCCGAGATAGGTGAAATAAAGATAAGAACTGTTTGTAGAATTCTTTTAGTTCATTTTTCCTTGTAGCCATATATTCCACTGTAAGTTTATTTATTTATTGATTATATTAGTCAGGGATTTTTCAATGCATGGTTCCATTTGTTAGCAATATGATCTCAATTTATAGATTCTCAACCCATATTTTTTCTGCTCTGTGATGTTGGTTTTGATACCTTTGATTAAACAAAAAATCAACTTTATACTTTGATGTTGGCTTTGATAATTTTGGTTAAAAAATATACTTTATACTTTGATGTTGGCTTTGATAATTTTGGTTAAAAAGTAAACTTGGTACTTTGTTGTTGGCTAGGGTAATTTTGCATGTTGCCCGGCACCTGTGGCTTAGATGTTGCAAATGAGGTTTTGTAATTCCAAGGTGCTTGGTTCAATCCCAGCTGTGGGCATTTTGTCAGCAGACCAGCTTCCATTGATTTTTAGTGGTATCGAGAGTCGGCCATTCAGAAAGCAGTGTCGAACTGCTAAAGTTGCCTAGTAAAATCACAAACAGCCCCAAAAATAATAGGGTTTGTTCTGCAACATCCTGCAAACAATACACAGCAAATGTTTGTTTTTTTCCCCGGGGGTGTAGTTTATTATTTGCTGAGTGGCATGATCCCACAGCAAGATGAAGCTGATGTTAACAGTTATGTTGATGGCCAGAAATAGGAAAACAAGACAAAATGACATTCTAGGTTAAGTGTAGTTTTTTTGTTGGACCTGAATTCTGTTGCCTGGTTGTGTAATATTGAATATATGTTTCAGAACTGTAATGGCATATTTGGGTTTGTGTGCCATTGTGCTCTGTATGGGTTAATGTACATACTTTCTGAGGAAGAGTTAACTGTGCATGCGGGTTGATTTGCTCTTATGTTGTAAATGGGATGATGTACGCTAATGTTGCAAATTGGTTGAATTACCATATTGCTTTGTGTGGGCTAACAAAATATAAAAAATATTACTTAAGCATGCAGTAAGTGTACATAAATTGAATGCGCCATATTGTTGTAAATTGGTTAGAGTGACTCAGTATGTCATAATTTACCTGAATTAATGTGCCATTTTGTTGTAAATTAGTTAGTGTGACACAGTATGTCATAATTTACCTGAATTAATGTGCCGTAAAGTTGTAAAGTAAATCCCAGACTACTACTTCTTCTTCTGCTTTCAACATCAGCCATGTTGCACATTTATTTCATTCTGGATCACAAATAGGATTGTGCATCTGAGGTCACCGCCGTCCCTTACAGCTTCTCTTGTGGTGTAGCTCTCCCTGGGCCAGATCCACAGTCTTTGCTGGGAGTAGTCAGGGCAATTGTGCAGTATGTGCTCAGGGTTCTGTCTTTCTGCTCGGCAATCACAGGCAGCAGATTCTTTTATGTCTATCCTGTACAGGTGTGTTCTAAGACCACAGTGTCCTGTCGGTAACCTAAAAATTGATGTTTGTTCTTTCCTGTTGTTGGTTTATGCTGTCACTCTCTGGTTTGTAGTCTCCATTCTGCCGTCTCCAATTCCCATGGAAATACTCCTTTAGGGCTGTTTTGGTTTCCTTGTAACCCTGTATTGGATTAGGTTGTGGAAGATTGCTCCCAGCTTTTGCCAGCACATGCTGTCTCATTTCCTTGAATACCACAGTGGGCTGGTATCCACTGCATGACCAGTTCTGCTTCCTTGGAAAGTGAGTCAATGCTGATCCATAGATCTGCAATTAGTTTGTTAATATTCACTAACAGTTTAACTCATTATGTCCTTTACACATCTTAAGTTTCTGTGCAGTCTCCGTCTACTTTGTGACATGCCAACACAGAACCTGCATGCAAATAGCTATTTCTTCAAAGAATGAATAACATCATCAGGTCTGTCTCACCATCTTCTGAAGCTTTAACTCTCTGGAACCTTCATTACTTCCATACACAGCACAAATGTTCACTGGTTCCCTTTTCTGCAGCCAGAAATTGTGTAGCAATTCGCTGTTTGTAAAGCATGTCTCCAATCCCATTTTAACAGATAGTTCAGCTGTTGGAATACGGTATGATGACAAATATATAGTGCAATATATTTCAGATTTGAAGTGTGTAAAATGTTGTTTCTTTGTTATTCATTATTTGCTGAAAAAATACTTTCTGAATGCCTTTTAAAGTTGCTATTTTACTTAAAGGTTTGCCAGATCTGCTACCTGTATGTTTCTTTACTAGTGTTAAGATAGTACAGTTTCACCTTCT